GTATCACGCAATGCCTGGTGAATTCGCGTAAATACACGTCGAGATGGAATCCTTCGATCGGGAAAACGCCTTTGGTACTCTTCAACAGCAGCACGTGCATTTCCACCGCAAAATCCACACACAAAATGCATATCACAATATTCAACGTATGAAAACACAAAAGGCTTTTCAGCAACACCGCACAACTACACGTAATTTACTAACCATTCGCGACCCCGCCGCAACGTAATCTGTAGGCTCTGTAGGTAGCGCATGAGATTGCGGCTAGTGTGACTCACAGAACTCAAGGACAAACAGATAACAGTCACAGCTGACAGGTATAGTGCGTGGACCCGCTAGAAGACCACACTTTTCTCGGGCCATTATCTCCGTAACCGTTCAACTTTGGACAGAGGTGTTTTGGGTTATATCGGCATACTTTAACATAAGGAACACCATCCCGAAGTTTGGTCCATTCCTCCTGGGACATCCTGTATAGTATATGCAGATTTTGTAAGCGTGCGATTTCTCAGTCATTACGAAATTTCCGGTTATCATAGCAACGAATTCTATCACAAACTCGGGTGTAGTTTTCTAGTTCATAAACTGGGAAAGCTTGAGATCCAAATATTCTACACTGCCAATTATTAAAGATATTGTTTATTTGTCTATCTATGGTTCTACAGCCCTTTAGTTGGACTTTGGCCGCTTTTCAGTTTCTTGATCTTTCACACAGCCGATAACACTACTTTGACGGGGGATGAGCCCGTAGAAATACCGCTACTACCACACATAGGACAGCACAAACAGAATAAACACATACCATACAGCATCCACTCCTCAAGTTGAATTAGAACCAACGATCCCAGTGTGTGAGCGGGCGAAGATACGAGTAGTTCATGTCTCAGACCGCGCGGCCACTGTGATCGGCTCAATTAACTAGTACTTACAGAAATTTCAAACTCAGTGTACGTAATCGTATAATTCTTAGTTGTAGTATTACGCACGAACTGATGCAAGTTTACGATACACAGAATAATCATCAGGAAGTTAGAGTGAGGAAGAAGAGTGAGTGTTATGGCATTATTTACAGGGTTCTTTTAAATAGACATACCCATTTATATTAAATTGTTGGATCATCCAATATTCTTGCATATGTTTCACATCCTGTAGTCCCTGCTGTTGTTGACATTGCATGAGAAGTGACGTGTTGCTGGCCTGCAATTGTAACGCGCACTGCATCAGATAACGCTGATTGTTGCATAGGATCCAGCCTGCCTGTCAAACTGATGGCTACAGCTGGGGTGGGAAATAATGCGAAGAAGACACACCACAGCCCTATGTAATCTGAGCTTCTGTCATCACAACAATCACCATATTATCAACACACGGTCTCACACACTTAATGAGAATTCTGTTTTCTTTCCAATTAACTGTGTAGGAAAACTGAGATATGTTTAATTTAGAACACCCATATTCTTTGCTCTATGCTCACACACGCCTATACACAGAACGGAGAATATATTTTGGGGCCTGTTTTTGTTTTGTTTTCTTTTTTTCCCCTCGGAGCTTCTCTGTCGTGTGGCGCAGGCGTAGCTTTTGCTGTTTCCCCGTGGCAGCGGTAGTAGCAACGGCTCGTGGTGGAGTCTGGGAGATGCTCGTGTATTGATTATGGAGGCAAGAGAGAGCGTGTCGTGTGATTAGAAAGAGAAGACTCGTCATCACATCCTCTTGCTATCTGTTCGTTTCAGTGCGTATACTGACTCCGCAATGCAAGAAGGAAAAATGTCAAGGAAAATCAAACCGTGTTTCAAGGCGTCGGTCTGGCAAAGATGGAAAATATTTTAACAAGAACTTGCATGGCTTACACACCAACTTTCTCCAAACTAACAAATCCCGTGTCCTCTTCTCGAAGTACTCTTCAAGAACAGAATTTTCATTCTCGGTAGCCTTTCGTTTTGGACTCGTTTTGACTTCAGGGTGAAGTAAATATATGACTAGTAGCCTACTGTTCTTATACCTTCTTTGGCCGTGCCATACCTCAGGCTGTGAGTCGCCAGCTTCCCACCGTGGAGGTCCAAGTTCAATTCTAGGTCGCGTAATGTTGGGTTTGTGGTGTACAAAGTGGCACTGGGGTGGGTTTTCTACGAGTATTTCGGTTTCCCCCGCCAATTCTCATTCCACCGACTGCTCTATACTCATCTGTCATCCGGGGCTGGTACAACAGGCTAATTAGTGGCCGACATATTAGTACACGTATTATTAGTTTCAGTCAAATGACGACAATATAAAGACAGCCAGTCACCAATGCTTTTGGATCGGAAGTAGGATCTCGCAACACTCAGAATACTTTTTTTTTCTATACTACTTGTCCTGGGTACGTTTTCAATGAGTATTAGCTATTAATTCGGGTAATGCTTGCTACCATTCAGTCCAGAATCTTTTGTGTTCTCATCTGCTATCAGAAAACGTAAATCTTAAAATATACAACACAATAATTTGTCCTGCAGTTTTGTATGGGTGTGCAACTTGATTTCTGACACTAAGGATTCAACACAGACTGAGGAAATCTGATAACAGGACGTTGAGAAGGATATTTGGACTCAGGGAGGGTGACATAACAGGAGGCTGGAAGAAATTCCATTACGAGGAGCTTCATAACTTGTACTCTTCGCCAAATGTAATTGGAATCATGAAGTTAAGGAGGATGAGATGGGCATGATACGTACGAATGCGTGACTACAGGACAATAAACGGTCATGCAACCGAACACGCTGCTCTAGCGGTAACACTCTAGACTCGTTTTCTCGGAGGTCCTCGGTTCGAATCTCGACCAGGACACCGAATATCCTGAGTGAACATTTTCGTAGTTGAGACCGCCTCTGTGGTCAGAGATTCTAGGCTACAGATGCAGAGGCCCCTGGTTCGATTTCCTGCACTACCAGATTTTCTGAGAAGTAGTGGGTCTGAAACGGGGTCCACTCAGCTTCGTGAGGATAATTGAGGAGCTATTTCAAGGAAATAGCGGCTCCGACCTAGAAAACCGAGATTAACTGCCGTGAGGATCCGTTGCGCTGACCACGCGACACCCTCTATCCGCTAAAGTTGGCACTAACTTCGCCGACGAGCGGCGGTCGCTCGGTCGGTATAGTTCGCTAGCGGGCCACGGAGTTTCGGAGTTCTCGGTCACTCCAGACAAATGCCGAGATAGCACTTCGATTAGCCGACGACCGCCCCTTTCCGGATCATTTCAGATTCATTATGCATCAATCTAAGTATATATTTTCTCTTGCAATGTTCGTGGTTAATAATAAAGATCAATTTAAATTAAATTCTGAGTTATATAATAGGAATACAAGATATAATAATAAATTCCATTGTCCTATATGTAAGTTGACTGTATTTCAGAAAGGAGTGTACTACCATGGAATTAAGGTTTTTAATTTGCTTCCTCCTAATATAAGGAACTTGGTTCAAGATGTTAAACATTTTAAAATTGTTTTAAGAAGATTTTTGTTGATGAACTCGTTTTATTCCTTGGAAGAATACTTTGATTGTAAATTTGACTCCAATAATTAACTGTGATCTATTATGGTATTGAATAATGTAACGAATCTTATATTGTTATTTTTATGTAGTGTTATTTGTACTATCAATGACTAATTCCTTATCCTATATGTAGTGGATTTATGGAATCTAAATAAATGAGATTAGATCTATCGTCTCACCATTCGACGCTTTATAGTTGGCTATATTGCAAGTAGTAAAATAGCACCACAGAAATAACATGCGATATATGATGTATCTCTCTGATCACAGATAATTCAAAATAATGCCCTTCACTTCCTCTTCCAAATGCTGATTAATGTTTAACGCATTTAAGAATTCACAGCTGTCAACAGAGTTTGGGAGGGGGGAAGGTCAAGCTGTTTAACGTCCAACATACTTTGAATTATTCGTTAAGGATTGCTACAATTGGAATCAGTTTTCTTCAAGAATGGTACGTTCTTCTGGCTTGTAACACCGCGGATTTCGGAAAGAGCCCAATGTTTCGGAGTAACATGTCGCTCTCACCTTCAGGGTAAAAAAATCAAGCCAAGTAAGGGAACCAAGGAGGCATTTTCACGCTGTTCCACGCACCCTATCGCTTGTTTCGTGCTGATTTATTTGTTGACTTACTCTTCGATCCTGAGGATGCATTCTAGAGTTCCATCGGAACGTCGAGGTCTCCGAACCACGCTGCGTTACAACTCAGAAGACCATATTGTTCTTAGCCTTCGCTGTGATATCCTCCAATCCATAAAAAATGTCTGTCACTTTATACTGCCTTAACTAGTAGCTAACTGTCTGGGTACAGTTAAGCACCAAGCCTGGAAGACGTATGGGGGAGTGGAAGTCTAGCTCCACGAATTCTTAGCCTCGGCAGTAGGTGGAGGGGGTGGTCAGCTTTACGCCCAGGCCAATTCTCCCCTGGTAAATAGCCCCGGTATCCACTGGGTACGAGACTCGGTGGACGCAGCTCATAGGAGAACTTTAGTTCCCCGTGCCTTAGTCGCTCTGCTCGTTGAGTCAGTCTGCCTTCCCCCCCCCCTCTCAATATGTGCAACTTACACATTAAGGAGAGTCGATCACAGTGACCGCGCAGTGAAGGGCATGAGATGTCTTCGCCCGCTCGAACACTGGGGTCGTGGGTTCGAATCCCACGCAGATCATGGATGTATGCGTATATTCTGTGTTTGAGTTGTCCTGTGTAGGTAGCGGCCTTACGTCGGGCCAAACAGTGAATTCTGATTATTATCTCGGAGTCCCCAATCGTTTGTGGGCGAGAATTCTTCGAATTCGACCTGAATATCGAGAGCAAGGTTCCTGGTCGCTCCTCCACAAATCGAAGATCGTGCCCGATTTTTTGGCCAGAAAAGGGATCACAGCCCATGATCATCCTCCGTATTCGCCAGATTTGGCTCCAGCAGATTTCTGGTTGTTCCCAGAAGTTAAGTTGGCAATGAAAGGAGACCGTCATGACACCATCCAGGACATCCAAAGGGAATGTGCCGCAGTTTTAAATGAGATTCCACGAAAGGAGTACAGTGACTGTTTTCGAAAACTTTTCAATCGATTCAGGCTATGTATTGGTTCAGAAGGAGACTATTTTGAATAAAAAGAGTGAAATTTTGAAAATAATTGACGTCCTGTATTTTTAATGAACACATTCCTAACAGAACCTGGACACACTGTGTATTTTAGAAAACTCTACGAAAACTGTATGACTAATATGGCCGCCTCTGTGGTCTACTGGTCAGAGTTTCTGGTTACAGATCCAGAGGTCCTGCCTTTCTCTATGGTTTGTCGTTTCCATGTTTCAGGGCCTGTATGTCTAACACGTAGTTGCAGCCCATGGCACTTGTACATGCGTTTTGCCCCCTAGGGGAAATCCTGAGTATCACTTTAGCGCGTCAGTGACAATGGAAAGTTCCTGAATGTGAGACTCTTAAATGTATTGCTGTTGTGGGTATGAATATTACAGGGCGAAGGGAAGTGTAAAGCTCAGTTTATATCTGTCCATCAGGGGACCAGGCTGTGCGCCAGGGAGTATAAGCACTGTCTACTTCTAAATTAAATACGAGATCACGATAACAGCCCATACAGACACGGATATTTAACTGAAACTCGACCCTTATTTGCTTCTAAAAGGGCGTCGTAAAAAGAGTGAGATTTGAAGTTTTCACGACAGTAAAGTTTCATATTACAGTACTATAGGTTATGATACTTCGTAGTCTGGTAGGTGGTTGCCAAAATTTTGGAGGAATATATGCCTTCCATCTTCGTTGTAGATGGAACACGACATTACAACCCAGAGGACCACTGCATAAAATAAGACCTATAATGCACGGAAATGAATTGAATATCTAATTATCCAATATGAGTTATCTTCCTGTGTTTTTAACTACTCTTAAACGGCCCATATACGTACGAGTCTGGGTCGTGAATCCGGCTCGGCGATCTTGACTCGGGAGCCGGGCTTGGATTAATTTCACCACAAACACATGAGGTGACTTCAAACTTTGCGACCCACGGACGAGTTTGGCTCATTGGAACCCGAGCCGAGCCGGATTCGTGAGCCAGACTCGTATGTGTATGGGCCCCTTTAGGGCGAGGGAACACCAAGGAATCTGGCAATTGCAACGCAACCGCAATTTCCTAGAAAAATCGCCGATTCCAAGCAGGTAACTGGTTTTCAGAGTAACAGGCGCACATTGAGGAAACTTACGTTTGATTAATTGCTCACATCAACTTAAGTGGGTATGATCGTCCGATGTAATGCATAATAGCGGTTTTTAATTTCGTTCACTTATCTTCTGCAATGGAAGATAAATAATACTGACCCTGTCATAATGTGGCGGTAGTTGAGACCGCCTGAGACGGCGTGAGAAGAGAGGACGACGACCATAAGAAAAATATTGGGATGCTAATTAATTTGTTTTAATGAAGGTTAATTTATTTTAATAAGGAAATATCGCGTTCACACGCGATGCGAAATTCTAACATACAATGCAACAATTTTAGTAAGATAGAAGACACCTGTCCCACTCAGGGCATGGATGTTTGTGTGCTGGTAGAGGCCTTGCGACGAGCTGATCACCCGCCCAAGGAGTCCTACCGAATGTGTAAGATCTAGAAAAACCGAAGTTCATGGAGGTAGGCCTAGGCCCACTGGGGCTGTAGTGCCAAGGGGGGGGAAAAAAGAGGATACCTGATGATGTCCGTATACAGCCGAACCATGTAATGTGGAAAAAGACTATATAATAATTTGTATTTACATGTGCAAAAAATATATTACTGCAACAGGATGCTTATATGCCATATTAGGAAAAGAAAACATTGGGTGCATCCGTTCTTCTGTAACAATTTAAACCGAAACGCTTGCATTGTTTTGAAAGAATTTAACCTGGATCCAGACTCTGTCGTCTCATGAAGAATTCTTTCCCAAGCCAAATCTATTTTGTCCCGCCTAGCACAATGGCGCTTGTCATATATACCAGGTTCTTGCTCAATTAACTGCACAAAACAAAATTAGCAGCTTCGTCAACTTTTCGTGCCATCTTAAGAAACAAACGAATCACATCAGCGCGTTATAGAACAGCTGACATTAGGAAACCACGTGGCAACGCAATTGTGAGAAGACTGGCATGCTCATTTACCAGGAAGTTGAGTTTCTCAGTCTCTCCGCGGGTTGCTTTGCTGTTTCCTCAATTTGCGCTGCTCCAGTCACTAACATGTGTGCAACTCAGCCTGATAAAACTTCTCGGAAATTGCGGTTGCGTTGCAGTTGCCAGTTTCCACGGTGCGCCCCCGCCCTTAGGTCTGACTTGGAATTCTGTTGCTGGAGTTTAGGAACGTTAATTAAGATTGAGTTTCTTTTTTCACTTCATTAAACTACTTACTAAACAGCTTCTAAAGGGTTCTTACGACTCAGAATTCCTGGGTTGTCAGACTTTGTCCATCGTCCAGTATTGTTGAAACTGCAAAACACGTTTCGGAAACTGGACCTGCTTCCGTCCTCAGGTGAAGGGGGAAACACCTACTTCGTTCAGTCAAAGGGAATTACGACTAAGTGGTGCTCACCTGAATTACCCTCCCCCCCTCGACTTTTACTTGCAGGTGTCCCTGAAGGACACTGTACCGATACTGGAGACATTATGAGAATGAACTGAACGTCGTATGCCGCTATTCGAGTAGGCAAATTGGTCACGGCTGCCCAGAACTCAGAAATCAGAATTGTCTTAAGTGCCCATACGCTAATGGTGAACAGTTTGAAGGCGGGTTTGATTTTAAAATCATATGTTTGTATTTTCTTGTGACGTCGTTAGGATATATGTATTCTGGTTGGATTGGAGTGCCCGTGTTGATTGATTTAAAAGTTATCCTGTATGATTTACGTCCAACTGGTCGGAAATTCAAGTGTCACGCGACAAATAACTTTACGTGGGCCTCGGATTTGGCAAATCTTTATTGGGTACTCACTCTTACACTCTTTACAATTGTTATCATTTCAGCTGTATTCTGCGGCGGCTATCTTTCAACTGTATAGTATGGCGACTAGGTTCCAACTGTATTGTATGGCGACTAGGTTCGAGCTGTGTTGTTGCTGTCAAAGTCAAAGTCACATTGCGACTGACGGTCAGTCAGTCTATCTGTCTTTGTGTCGAGCCCCGACTGGGGCTCATGGCCAGATTTTTTCTTTATATGAAAGTTACTGTCCTGTTCATTTGGGGCGCCCTCTCTGACGAGAGGTCGGGTCTGTCATTTGTCAGTCATAGTCTGTGTTAGTAAGTCCATTGTCAGTATTTACATATATTTACAAATTTAATCTTAATTGCTATTTCTATGTACAATATATACAAGGCCTCTGTCAATTCAGGCTCATTACAGCAGATTTTGCCCTATTTCTGGTAGTATTCGCTACCACAGTAGTCTAGTCACTTGAACGGTCGTATGCCTGACCGCCGCCAAGTTTAAGCCTCTTATACTTTCTGTGTCGGGCTTCGCCTTGTCCGATGTTGCGAACATTCTCATTTTCATTATTTTGTATGACTTCTGCTTGTTTCCTGCATAATTTTGTTATATAGTCAAAGTCAAAGTCTGTGGCTCTCGGCTTATGTAGGTGTTCTGCGGACTCAGTAGAGGACACCCCTCGCCAAGGTTCGATCTCACGTGTTCGGCAATCCGTTGCTTCGGGAATGCTGTTTATACACTGGTAACGTGTTTCGTCTCTTCCGCTGTTACTCGACGGGCCTCCTGTTGTTCATCTCTGGGGAAACGTTGCTTCGTTGATTCTGCAATTCCTACGCAACGGCCCACTGTTACTGCGTTTCAATGGATGTATCTACTCCCAAACACGTTACAATATACAGAGTGTCCCAGGAGGAATGTCCCAGACGTCGGGAGGGTGTTCGTTATGTTAAAGTATGCCGATATAACCCAAAACACCTATGTCCAAAGTTAAACGGTTACGGAGATAATGGCCAAAGAAGTGTGAAATTTTGACAGGTGTTACACACTTGTTGATTAGCAAATACATATTTAAACTGGCAGGAATATGTGGTTTCTAAAATGTTAATAATGTACGTAACATCAAACTAACTTGTGAGTGACATGAAGCCATTAAATTGAACTACAAAAAAACTCGCACGCCATGTCATAGTTGTCATTAGGGTTCCAAGCACTATACATGACACATGAATGGCAAGCACTGACGTAACATGGCTGACTGCGCATTAGCGAGTGTATGCGGCTAGTGTGGGCCGTCATCACCACACTCAAGGACCACTCAAGGACAAACATCGATAAGACTTGTCAGCTGACAGGTACAGTGCGTGGACCTGCCAGAGGATCACACTTTTCTCGGGCCATTATCTCCGTAACCGTTCAACTTTGGACATAGGTGTTTTGTTTTATATCGGCATACTATAACATAAGGAACACCCTCCCGTAGTTTGGCACATTCCTCCTGGGACACTCTGTATATTACTGATTATCAAAGGCGACAATTTGTATTAGGGATATTTAGATGTTCTTTACTTACGTTGGCATGAATACATTCGAATTGCTAGGGGTTGGCAATTACATATGTTTCAAATGTAGTACGAATGTTCGGTGTACTGCCGGAAGTATGAGGAGAACTGAGTTAGGATTTGGCAACTGTTTGTGTATATAGTAATTCGAACGATTGTTTGTGAGTAGGTACATGTGGCAACAACCTGCGTGCAGTGAATCATAAATTTATAGTTCAAAAAGTTGTATTGACATATCATTTGCTGCTTAATAGCCTAAACGATTTCAGAAGACAGGGAATAGGAGTGGCTAAACTTATAAAATTGTTTTATTGCCATTTTGACTGAATGTAATGCACCTAACCTTAACCAGCCTGGCCATTCATTAGCCCGGGACTCGGTAGCAACCACTGAAGCGCGGCAGGGAAGGGATGTCGAGGTCCCACTATATCGCTGTATGTAAACCCAGATATAAATTGAGGAAAGTTCAGTGAATAATTTTACTTTGGATCTTCGTGTATGTATTGTCATTGAAACTGTAGTAATGTTAATTCTAGCAAACATCTTTGCTTCAACTGAAATATCTCTAAATTCTGTAGCCTGTTTTTAGTAATTACAAAATTTACTGAATGTCGAATTTAATTTAATAACTGTTGACACAACTTTCATGATTAAAGTTTTTAATGAAAAACATTATATGTTTCGGTTTCACAGGTCATCACCAGGTGGTACACTAATAGAGAAACTGTATTACCTGAAAAGTCTTTTAGAGTAAGAAATGCATTTTTAAACTTATGGTTTATTCTGTGAGCCACCGTTATAATTTAAGAACATTGGAATTTCACATTTTGCTGCTCCAATACTTTTGTTATTCATTGCCATGTTTATTATTTATTTTATTATATTTATATATTATAGTAGTTATTTATATATTATTTATTGGCAGGCCAGTATGTCACAAAGCTTTATATAAACATATTTTCAGAAACGTTCTTAGGCATTATAGAGAGATAGTTTATATTAAATATTATTAACATTTGTTTGAATAGGGCCAGAAATAAACTGATTGTTACGATAAGCCTATCCAAGATGAATGGTTGTATTCAGACTTCACAATTCAGAAAAGGTACAATACAACCTGAGCCATTCTGTTCCTGTGTAAATAGTAATGGTGATATAAGGAACAAGCTATCTTGCTCCTGTGGTGAAGAATTGGGAGGTATGTGTGTTTTAATTCAAAGAAAATATGTTGATACGTGTACCAATCTTAAATCCCAACACCGTGTACAGAATATCTGAAGAATAATGATAGAGTTTCAAGAACCAATATTTATAAAAATGAGAAACATATTCAGTAAATTAATATTTTATTCTAAAATGTACTTCAGATAGTTTTGAATATAATTAGTGAGTTTCCAAATGTGCACCATTTGTGGGCGTGCATATGTCTACTCCTTGCTGTACACACTATATACAGCATATCTGGTTTTGTAAGATTTGAGGCTTTCACGGCGGTGACTGTGAAGAAAGCAGTCTTCTGGGATTTGGCACCGTGTATATGTGGTGTTAACCGACGTTTCGGAGGAACGTATCGCCTCCATCTTCAGGGTAGAAGAAAAATATATAAGAAATCTGCAAGCAAAGAGACCGTGAGAACCGGTAAAAGCAGACGGTCATTTTTCTTCTACCCTGAAGATGGAGGCGATACGTTCCTCCGAAACGTCGGTTAACACCACATATACACGGTGCCAAATCCCAGAAGACTGCTTTCTTCATATCTGGTTTTATCTGCCCAGTGGCTTCTCCTGTTTTTGCTTTCAGAGGTTTCAGGTCTTGAATTTTGTCAAAATAAACGTAATTCTTTACATAGCTGCAAATGAATAAATCACGCAGTGTAAAGTCAGGGCTCCTAGGTGGCCACAGAATTGAATCAGTCCTGCCAATCCATCTTCCAGGAAATGTTGCACCTAGAAGTTCCATAACATGTCTTGAGAAATGTACTGGTGAGCCATCTTGTGGGTGTCCCCTCATGAAACTCTTTTGAATGGATGATTGCAAAGGTACAGCATTCAGTATCATACCTTTTGTGTACTTGGACACAGAGCATCTTGAAACCCCACCATTATTTCTTGGACACAGTCTATAATATTATTTAATTACAAATAATTTTGGGCTCCATGTTTTAGAAAAATAGCTGTTCATGCAATAAGACATAAATCATACTGCATGATGCTGGGCTTGTAGAATCATACTGAAAAGTAACTGTGGTATTTGTGTTTGAGCTAGGAATTGAAGGTAGGACTGCACAGATAGTGTACATTATTCTGCTTCTCCTCTTTGTTCCTTGAGCCTGTTGCAGTGTTATGGCATCTTTATAACCTTTCATTTGTAATGAAATTCAGGTTTTTTGGAATCTTTCATTGGCCATTCTGTTTATGTGAGTTAATAATTTTTCTCTGTAATTACCTGTTCTTCCATTTACTAAACAAGTGTTTAGTTCTTTTCTGTATCTCTTTAATTTTTCACTTTTATAATAAAATGATACACAGAATGATCAAGTCAAGAAGGAAGAGATTGGCAGGTCATGTATAACGAATGGGGGTGAAGAGGAATGCATGTGGGATTTTGGTGGGAAAGCCAGAAGGAAGTAAACCACTAGGAAGATCCACACATGAGAGGACAATATTAAAATGGTTCTTAGAATAACAGGATGGGGAGGTGTAGGCTGGGTTTATCTGGCTCAGGATCAGGACCAGTGACAGACTCTTGTGAACATGGTAATGAACTAGAAATATTTTACTTCAGTGTCATAATGTGTGTGTGAACAACTTATTATTGGTTCTGCCACCTCAATTTGTGTATAAACTTTATATGTTATTTCACGTGTTTTGGCTCTTATGGCTGTCATCTAGTAAAATAAAAACATGCATAACAATGCTCAAATATTACGAGGAACATAACTCTAAAAACCAACACAACATAGGAAAACATATATATATATATATGAGGTATGTAGCACTTTTACCATGATGAGTTCATGAACTTTATTGTCGGACCAGGTATAATTTTATATGTTGGCATTGAAGAGAAGACACATCTGCAGTGAGCCAGAAATAAACACTGTTTCCATGTTCAGTGTTTAATAACACCACAACAAATGAAACACTTTAATAACTTAGTATTTTAATATTTTAATGTTTTGCATGTAGTTTTATATGTTGGCATTAACATTGACAAATAACATGTATGACCTCCCCTAGTTGTAAACATTGGCCAATATAAGGGAGAATAGCAGCAGAGTAAAGAGTGAGTGTAAATATTTTACCTGATGATGGCTATAAAGAGCCAAAACATTTTGTAAAATAATATATAAAATTTACACACGAATTGTTATGACAACCAATAATAGAACTGAGGGACGTGTTTGGAAATTCTTGAGTAACTGAGCAATTGGTGGAATTTCAAGGACTGAGCTCCATGGAGGTAGTTAGTAATGTACTGATAACCATGGGGTAACCTTTACTAGTAGCAAGTGTTTTGGGCTTGTTGAAATGGGTCAGAAGGGACAGAGAGAAATACTGCTGTAGCCAGAGAGAAGGATGATGAGTGCTGTCATACCCGCCACCCACGGGACTCGTTTCTGTGGCCGCAGTATAAATATATGAATTTCGGACTTTGATTGCAGTACATGAATGGGAATGGGACGGAACGTCGTCTGACTCTCGATTGATCTTGGATGGCCGAGAAGTCCTCTTTCATCCATACTACAGTTCTGGTACAGCTGCTGTACGAGGAAGCAGACCTTGTGTCAGAGGAAATGATTATTATTGGGAGATAAAAGTGCTTACGCCATTGTGTGGGACTGATGTTGTAAGTGATTTAATGTGGCTGGTACATGTATGGTCCAAGAGGGGCCTTCTGTGTAGGCATTGATAAACATTTTAGATTCTGTAATATCAGAAGGCAGTGAAATGGGATTTGATATGTGCTAATGTGACAAGATCATATTTTGCCCAGAGTCCACCTTTGCCTTAAACTTGTGTTGTTGTACCCAGAAAAAATAATATAATGTCACGTGTTTTAAGTTCGAATCTTGTTGGTCATGTGTGTAAGTCCAATCCCACTTCTGACACCAAATTTAACATGTTTAGTTACTGAAGACACCGTTCGGATTGTTAATTGGTTTACTTAACAACCTACAAGTCGTAACTACAATTGATTATAACACTGTTGCCGGGTTTCACACTTTATAACCCTATTCGTAATAATCTCTTGACTCTGTCCTCAGTAGTCTACATGTATTCACAGTACGGGAGCTATATAAGTGTCACTGTATTACACACTCCAAATTACTTCTCAGTTATCACAAACTATCACTGTTTGTCACACACGTCTGGTTCTTCTTTCTACGACTGCTGCTAGATTCCAACTGTGTTGCTCTGGCTCACACACTAACTGTGTCACTCCTGATCACACACTAACTCTTGCTTACTGCTCGGCTGGCTTTTTATTCCGTTCGCTGTTGCCTGTTGCCTGTGTCAACAGTGGCGTTGTGTGCCTCGTCACAGTAGGAAGCGGTGCCACGTAGCCCGGGGGTGGGGTGGAGCGCTGACTCACCTGCTACGTAACCGTGGCCAGAGCTGTCATGTCACTGCTGGGGGAGGGAGAGGGTATCCTCCATAGCGCAACATGTCACAATAATAACTATAATTAACACTTATGTAGAGACCATGTAAAATGCTGTGTCATCATTTTGTTCTTTCATTTGCTAATGGTCGACTTCTTTTGCTGATGAGGAGGCTGTATGGAATTTGTATGAGTGTATATGGCCTTTATCAAGCTCCGGAACATGTATGTTGTTTTAATATATCAGTTTTGTTTCTAGATGATTGGTGTGGGTACAGATAAGGTTGACCTTGTGGCATCAGAATTTCAGTTTTTCAGCCTGCTAGGGTCTGATGAGGAATCGTGGGGATATTCATATAAGGGTAAGTTTGAAAGCACATGAAAGTTATCCCCGAAAGCACTGATCTACTTTTGATAGGATCATAGTGGTACAGTTTGTGAGTGCAAGAAATCTGATGGTCAGTTGTAGTCTATAACATACATGAATACCCTTGGATTTATGATGATGGGATAATGTGCAGTCATGTATGTATGTGTGTGTCCACATGTGCTTGTGCACGCGCGTGCCTGTGCATATTGTAGGTATGTACATACATATGTACATTTATTTTCTTCTTCAAAACTGTTGAATGATGGTGTCTGTATTTATAGCGTACTTTCCTTGTTTGAAAAAATAAAAGGAGGTTTATGGGATCACCTTGCTGTCTGTGTGGCTTCGTATTCCCCCTTTCATTGGTATACAGTGACCCCATAAGCATATTCCCACAGCATTAAATTCACACATGACAATGGAGGAACTGGAGATGGTGTTTTCTGTTTGATCCATGTGGTATCAGGTAATCAACATTTAGTGAAAGGACAGTAGGCAATTAGTTCTTCCCAGAACTTCTCATTTTTTATTCTTTTGGTGGGTTAAGGCTGAGTCCCTTGGTACTTGGCAACTAGCAAGCCAAGCTGAAGACGGTAGATGAGAAAATGGAGTATTAATAGAATCATAATTGGTATAGGAAACTGAAGTACCTGGAGAAAAACCTATTCCAGTTGCATTTTGTTAACCACAAATCCCAATGGATTTCCTTGGGATTGAACCCAGACCTTAACAGTGCCTGAGCTCATGCTATCAAACTGAAGTACCTAAAGAAAAACCTATTCCAGTTGCATTTTGTTAACCACAAATCCCAATGGATTTCTTTGGGATTGAACCCAGACCTTAACAGTGCCTGAGCTCATGCTGTCAAACTGAAGTACCTAGAGAAAAACCTATTCCAGTTGCATTTTGTTAACCACAAATCCCAATGGATTTCCTTGGGATTGAACACAGACCTTCACAGTGCCTGAGCTATGGCATGACCATGCTGTCATGAAGCTTTTGTGGCCTAATTTAAGGTCCTGTCCTGATGGGGGCATGTCTGGGATAGAAGTCAGAAGCATTACCACTTGAGCCAAGTAGCTTTGCTGTTTGATTGTCTCAATTTTAACTTTTCAGCACCAAAGGCTGAGTATACTTGTAGCTAGCCATGTTGTATGTTTCAGGACAGGTATACTTGTAGCATGGAAATGGTTAATTTATAACCTTATTTTTCAGTGAGTTATAGAAACGTTTTGTTACACTTCCTACAGTTCGAAAGATGGTGAATGGTCTTTCTTTTGATATATGTAGTGTACTCACAGGTTTTGTATGACTGTTTGTGTTTGTCTTGTAATTTTACAAAGTTCAGTTTTGCAGCATTCTGATTAGACCTATATAGTGTGTCCAGTCAGTCAGAATATTTTAGATACAGTTCATGTTGTTTAATGTTCTGTTATTACAGATTTTGTTATGTTGGTTATCTTTTTGTAGAAGGATAGATACATATTGTGTTACACTGATGTTCTCAACACAATGGCATTTACGTAGGTCATACTGAAAGTCATGAGCAACAATTTTTTGTAAAGTAACATGCTTCATTATTGACAAACCATATGCACCACCTCAATCTACAGACCTTTCTTTATTTTTCCATGTAATCGCCACTTCTTTGTACACGTTTCTGCCAGCATTCTGGGAGTTTGAAAATTCCCCTTCTGTAAAATTCTGTTCCAGCCATCCGAAGACACTGACGCACTGCTTTCTGAATTCAGTGTGCCTATGGAGGTGTGTGCATGGGTGCAAGTAGCATTCAAAGATGGGTGAAACATTTTAAAGATTGAAACACCAGCATTGAAGATGAGCCTTGGAGCGGTCATCCTCGAACAGCCTCAACTGAACGCAACAAGGAAAGAGTGGATGCCATCATTCAAGATGACAGGCGTGTGACTGTGGACACAATAGCCCGAAACTTCGAATAGGGCACAGTGCAGTACAGGAGATGATTGAAAGCTTGGGCTATAGGAAAATTTGTGCTCATTGGGTCCCGTGGTTATTGACCGAAGACCACAAAGGTCACTTTGGAAGCAATTGCAAAGATGGGGTGGGAAGTTCTTCCACACCCCTCCTATAGCCCTGATCTGGCACCCTCCGACTGCCATCTTTTCGGATTTGTGAAGGATCAGCTGCGTGGACAACGTTTTGAGACAAGGGAGGCAATTCAGAAAGCAGTGCGTCAGTGTCTTCGGATGGCTAGAACGAAATTTTACAGAAGGGGAATTTTCAAACTCCCAGAGTGCTGGGAGAAATGTGTACAAAGCAGTGGCGATTATGTGGAAAAATAAAGAAAGGTCTGTAGATTGAGGTGGTGTATTTGGTTTGTCAATAATAAAGCATGTTACTTTACAAAAAATTGTTGCTCATGACTTTCAGTTCGACCCTTGTATTAAAGTAAAGTATTTTTGCATAAGAGTATGTAGTAAATTGGTTGGGTCAAGAAGAATTTTTTTTTAACTGAATATTTTGCTACTTCAGCATTTGTTAAAATGACATTTTGCAGTATTTTGTTTCAAATGTATTCCATAATTTCAATATCTTCCTCACAATTGAAATTTGAGGTTATGTGGCTCCTATTTATTTGCTGGATTGTTCCCACAAGATTTTGGGTGCAGTATGATAAATTAATTTGTCTCTTATTAGGTTATATTCAACACAAAGGCAAAATGCAGCCATATGGTCGACCATATGGTTGTGGCAGCATTATTGGTGTACATTTGGATATGTGGAAAGGAACATTACAGTTTTACCTGAATCGGAAGCCACTTGGTAAGTATTCCAAGTGTTGTGTTGAGCTTCTCATGACAGTATCAAGATTATTGTCTTCTGGGGTGACATCACATAGTTCCATAGATTGGTGCCAACATTTTGGGGGAGCCTATGGATATAGGAAAGAGTGGGTGGGGACTGGGTCTGTTATGGTGTCATGTTTCATGTTTGAACAGACAGATGCCATCACTCAGACATTTTGTTACATGTTGGGTATGAGGTTCTCACAGCAGTGATTGATGATTACTGACTTCTGGGATGTGGTGCTGTATAATCCAGAGGAAGTTCATCAGTGTTACAGAGCTGGTATGTATTTTCGAAATGTTGGTGAACTTCCAGAGGATACATGTCGCTTCCTAGAAGTTAGTACTCTTCATTGCATTACATGAATTGCAAAAGAAAGAAAATAAAAAGGTAAAGTTTCTCCTGTGCTTAACTAATTCAGCACTACACCATCAATGTATATGCGGGAGTGGGTGTATAGATCAACATTTTCTTGACCTTGGCACTAGTTGCAGGTCAGCTTCACTCCCCTGCCACTTTACCCCCAGCGAGAGAGTCCCCAGTACCCATTAAACTTGGAAAAGAAACATTTTTTGACCCTACCAGGACTTGAACTCCAACCCCTCTTTCATTCAGCCTGTAGCCAGTTGCTATACTGACTATACTATCCTGATTCCTTCAACAAAATTAATTTTTTTGACTCCTAAGATTTTTGAAGTCAAAGTATGTTGCAATAAAATAGAAAGTAATGAATGATCCATCTTGAACTGTACCCTAATAGCACTGTGTTATATAGGTCAGTGTACAATTAATGAAGCATATGAATTGGTATACATGCAATTTTACTCCTGAACGGCGCTTCACAAAAGAGACTGTTGGATGCTACAGGATACTGAAGTGTTCTGTATGATCAGGGCATCTGTGAATGTAGTGAAGCCATTTTTGGAGCGATATCACTTTGAAGAGATGATGGCCACAAAGACCTAACACCTTCCCTCCCCTTTTGTGGGATTTTTTAAAGAATGTGTACACCAAAACAATCAAAGAAGCACAGAGTAACTGAAAGTAAATACTGGAAATGCCATTGGCAGCATCATAGCAGAAACTTTCACATGTGTCTTACCAAACATTCAAGAGGATTGATGTACATGTTCGGAACAATGGAGGACAGTTCTAGTATAGTTTATGTTTTATGTTTAGTGAAATGTGAAACATAATGTTTTCTGTTGTGGTATGATATAAAACTTATTGTATATGTAAAATTAAAGTATTATTCAAAGAAAGTATGTGTCTATGTGCACATGCTTATGAATTTATTTACAAAAGAGGCTATTCTGATAGTTTTTGTTTTTTCAGGAGTATGAATGAATGAATGAATGAATGCATAAGGGGCGGGCCTTCTTGGCCCTTGCACTGTGACCTACAGTGATGTATTGTGCTTCCCCTTTCGTTTCAGGAGTAGCTTTTAGTTCACTGGGTGGCCAAACTCTGTACCCCATGTTATCCTCAACTGCTGCGAAGACTGCATTGAAAGTCATATACTGCTCTTCTTTGCCATCCACTTTGCAGCTCCTAAGCTTAAAATCTCTCAGCACTGACTCAGAGATGATGAAAATACTTAAGGCAATTCCATTCTTAAGGTCTCAGATTGAGAGAGAGTATTGGTGGCTTATCCCACCAGAGCGAAATGCAAGTAAGTTGTTTTCCTAAAATAACTTCCCATTTGCAGGAAACATACAGTACTTTAAAATCTGTTCTATTGTTTGATAAATTTTAGTCATTAGCTGCTAGTTAATTTCATTCAGTATTCAATGCCGCATATAATTTTAAATTTAAATGAAAACTGTCATCCAGTTTCTTTTCATATTGAGGACAGGTAACCGTAATATACAGGATGTTGAATGAAATGGGAATGAATAAATTAATATGTATATGACTGAAGTATGGGGGGCACGTGGTAGTGTAGTTGGTTGAGGCACTGTGCTACAAGCCGGAAGGTCGTGGGCTCAAGTCCCGATGAGGTCATTGGATTTTTTCAGTTGACCCAATCCTTCCAGCCACACTATGGCCCTGGGGTTGACTCAGCCTCTAACATAAATGAGTACCAGGAATATTCCTGGGGGTAAAGGGCGGCCAGTGCGTAGGGCTGACAACCTTGTCACCACCTATGAGCCGATGGTCTAGAAAATGTGGGAACCTTGACATCTCACAACCCTATGGGCCTCCATGGCCTTTTTACTTTATGACTGAAGTATGAGTTACATATTTTGGAATAAGTATATGTGAATTCTATGTCTGTGTTTCTAAATTTCTCATAAACTTTTATACAGAAACTAAATATCTGAAGTATTTTTCAGGCCTTGCATATTATTTGTGAATAGTTGATTTCAGTATTTATTATATCAATGATGAATGATTACACAATCATCATATTACAATGTGTGTTACTTTAATTGGAAATTAAGCTGGAGGGTCTCAAATACAATTTTTTATTTTATTTTCACTTCACCACCACTTCTAGAGTTGCTCTGGGAGCAACCTAGTTTTCTTTCTAGTATAGATCATCAGAAACATTCATAAGTGAGCTCTCAGTCTTACCTTACGAAGAGATATCAAAGTTCACACTTTTATAAGACAGCAAGAAATTATGTAATTTTACGTATTTCAGTTTTAAGATAGCAGATGTGAAGACAAGGATTCTGAACTCAGTGTCACTTAATGTTCCCTAGATTTAATTTGCATTTCATGTTGCTATGAATGTAACTTTGAAATGTTGCATTTGATCGTAATTATATTCATTTTGTCACATTTTTTGAGGATTTATTACCTTTTTCCAAACAAATGATGTTTTTATCCTTTATTCTGATGATGATATATAAAATTAAAGAACTTGTTTTATAGTTAAGTAAATAGAAGCTGACAGGTTGTTACCATCATAACTGAAACTAAGAGACCAGAACGAGAGCTGTAAACTGATATTCCATCTCTAGTTATGAAACCAGTGATAAAAACGGAACATACAAGTAACCAACATAGACCAGTGCTTGTTTTATAGCCTGTGTGTGTGGTTTCATTGTATTTGTTTGACTGCAGGATCTGCAGCCGATTCTGCAGAATGCTGTACGATGGAAATATCTGAAGATGGTGTTCCCAAGAACGGGGAGGACTATGATAGTGATGAAGATGAAGATGAAAGCTTGGCTTCGTTTTGTGCACGTATGTCACATACTTTAAGTAGCTCATCACAAGAAACAGTGCTTGCGAAAAATGATGCAAGTGACAAGAGAAAGCATGTGCCCACCCAAAACGGCTGTGAAATAGAGCCATGTCTGTTTTGTAATCAGTGTGATACACATGTGAGCACTGAGGGAACACTATCAACAAACAGTAAGAAACTTTGTATTACCTGTGATGTTATTATATAATTGTATACATAAGTTAGTAATTTTGATGAGTACATGTTTTAACCGCACACGCGTATCTAGATGGAGTACACTGACCTGGATCGGAGACTATCTAGAAGTGCGCTGTAGATCTGGTAGTCTAGTTGGCGGCTACGTCCTTCTTGATAACGCCTCCGCGAATGGAATATCTCAGGGTTTATTGGGCTAGTTGATAAGAGGTGTTATCATTGAATGTTTTAAAGCTTTCGGGTAGAGTCATGGATTCTTTCCTCAGGGACGTTTAGGGCCTCGCTTCAAAGGGGTGGGAAGGAGATGTCCTGGATTCGACTCTCCGTGTTAGCGGAGTCAGGTACAGTAACGCACTGTTTACTGGGTTTAAGTTTTGCACAACTTAATTTATTACACTTAAAAAATGCAATCGCACTGGTTAAGATGTTTACGACACTGACACTGGCATCGTGTTGATCGCTTATTAGCGATCGTAGAACTATATCTTATATACATGAACTGGTTTACACTGTTGCACTGTTAGTTAGCTTGTAGCTAGGGATCACTTCTTTAGAACGTTATGTAGATTCGAGCTTATACTCATAGCTTGTTACACTTCGAAGAATTAAAAGAACGTTTACATTTAATCGGTCCCAGCGTTGATGTACTATCAACTGTAGAATGATTGTTGGAGTTAGTAAGTTAAATACGAAGAAAAAACCACAACTATGCACTTTGCCGAACAACTGATTATGAGATTTACGAAGAATTGGGAATTGTGAGAGAACTGCCGAAGGCTGGTAACTGACGACTCACACTAATTGATTGAAATAATTTGTAACAATTTGAAACAACCGACGACAAGTCAAGTCAAGTGACTGCAAGTCTGAAAGGTAGAGAGAATGATTGAGAATAATACTTGAAAGTGGCTCTGCACGATCTTTTGAAACCTCGGTTCGAGTCTAGTAACGCCTACTGTGACCCACTAGCCCTTTCTGATTGGATAAATTGGAGGTTCCTGGGCGTATTTACTTTAGTCAAATCCAATAGGTGTGCGAGGATGATTTCTCACTGCGTGGGCTTGAACCCTTTTCCAAGTGTTCTCTTCAATTAATTTTAAGGATTAAGAAATTCATTGTGTCTCCCAAACTCTGAAAGTATGGTTTTCCTTGTGAGAACTTACCGAGGTTCTATTCTAAATTGTACTTGGTGAATTAGTATTATTAGCGAAAGGGTACACATTTTATGGCTACTAAGTACAAGCTTAATCCACTCATCCGTATTCAAGGAGAGTTCCCTCTTTTCCTCAATTTCTTAAAGGGATTATCTTATTACTTCGTACAATTTGGCAGTACACAACCTTTCATGTCGTTGTGAAATGTTAAGACTAAGTTTATTATTATTTGTTGTTGCAGGAAGGGTAGTTCTGGCCTGTCTTATGCACTGCCACGAACTCAGTACCTTTCTCCCTTGTATTTCTCGCGAGCTAACCCCTTTGAAAAGAAAGTACCTCTTGTCAAACTCTTAGCGAGCTTAAACCTTTCTATGATTTTTCTTTGTATTCTGTAGGTAGGCTAAACCCTTTTTTTTTTTTCTGGAGGCAGGATGTCCTCTTTCTTACTGAACCTTTACCTTCTATGAATAATATTAATACTAACGATGCATGTCAATAGTGTGTTGGCCGGGACTCGATCCTAGGGTTGGAAGCCCTTGGACGGCCATAATGTCAACTGGGTATAATTCTCTATAGCCAAATGTGAATGCAGTAAATTTTAGCTCACTTGAAAATCTGTGACTGTTAAGCCGGGTCCACACTTGTTGCGTATCCCTGTATCGTATCAGTGTGTATGGTACCCCGTATCATCCTTCTGTAACTGCACCATTGAAATCCTTCCCCCCCCTTTTTATTTCAGTAGCTGATAGAGTTAATAATAAGAATTTATGAAGAAACAAAGGTTTAAGACACACTCTAAGAACAAGGAATAGGCGATGAGCAGATAGACCAAACTTGCGCGGACAAGGACATCTGCTAGTCCTTGCATCCAAGCATCTGGTGTTATTTTCCAAAAAGGGCAGAAATGATACTGCAAGAAACCCCACTGAGTTTCTTTAGAAATTGAGAATTTGACATACAGCAGCAAGCCACTTTGAGAATTCGAGAAGTGACAGTTTCTACCAGCCATAAGTCAAAAGTGTGAGTGCCAGGAGATCATTAGCGACCCCTCATAAGTTGCATCACTGTCAATTTCGCCGTTTGGTCTTTTAGGGCTAAATTCCCTTAAAAACAATCTGTCATTGGCCGGAACCAAAACTAAGCCAACTCCTCTTATTTGAATCAGCCTATCAGGGAAATTAGGAGGAAAGGAGAATAGGTGGATATAACTCAGTTAGGACCTCTGGCTCGGCAGAGATTTTAAGTTGTCTGTCAACTTTAGAACTTGGCGGAGGCAAACCCCGCATCACACGTGCTAAAGGATAATTCTAAGTACACAGTTTTGCTCATAATGACTCATAAAGAGATTTAGCTTAATCCATAAGCGGACGGTTGTAAGTTGAGCTTATCGAGTGCAATTTGTGCAAGTGTAACACCAGCTGCTTGTAAGCCGAAAATAAATCAGATTGAATTTATATGGCCGAGTGCCTTTAAAGAAGAGCAATAAAGTGTTGTAGTGGTACAGTGAATTGTGTTGGTTAGAAGTGCTTCACCCTCACTTGTCTGAGCCTGACCCATATCCGACCTGAAGAGAGACTCATCTCCACTAGCTAGTCAAACCCATTGCCAGCTTTCACACACTCACGCCTTCCCCCCTTTACAGTGAATCGTAAACAGTCTCTAGCTGTTTGCTGGCGCCCATACCATCAGGTCCCATCCTGAAATTCAAACCCCCAGTAATCTCAACGGAAGGAAGAAGTGGTGGAGCCGGGTCAAGCTGAAACCAGCCACGACCTAGCAACTTCAACAGTGGCAACACCAGGTATGGCAGCGTCAAAGTGGTCATCGGAGCAGAGGGGCCAATCGTCATCGACTCCCGCTTCCTGCACTACTATTCAGACGAAGCCGCAGGCGGAAGGGCAACAAAAGGGCCGGTAATAAGAGAAGCCCAACGTGGAAGGAAATGGTTACAGTTCCATTGCAAAATGTTGATACTGTAATATGCAACGGGCTGTTCGCTCACTTGGTGGTCTTTTCCCGTCGCATCAAAGGGACAACACGCGCTGCAGTGGTGCCAGTTTGGACGTGCACGTGTTGCATCGCGACGAATGCCAACACTTTGGAAATGCCTGCAAATTGAAGGTATAACATGAATTTATTCACTGTACTATCCAGAATGATATCATGAGTATTTTTCTTAGGGCAAGCAGTGGATTTTATAAAAATTACAACACTGCGGCTTATGGAACAGGGCCAGATTCTTTCCTCTACTACAAAGGGCTACCAAATGCCCACTACCCGACTTCTTCTTCCCCGCATTTTTTTCCCAGCAACAGTCAGCAATCTGTCCTGAATACACCTTCAACAGTTTCCTTCCCTCAATCTCCTTCACCAGCTACGGCCTCAGAAGATGACTTCCTTATTCAGGACCTTATATAAATGTGTTGATGTAACGATTTTACACAAGTGCCTTTAATGCAGAAATACTTGCATCAAAATTAAATTATTAAAACAGATCAATAGTTCACATTTAGTTTTTGCTTTAATGTGCAAGCTCTATTTTATTTCAGAAATATGAAATAAAGTAATCAAGAAACAAGAAATCATATTGTTTGCTTCATTTAGTGGTTAATAACAAGTACTCACTAACCTTAATGAAGTCCTTCAGTGCTTCCACAAGAGCGCCACAAACTTCAGGGACAGTGGTGCTGATTGTTTGCTTCGATATTTTGAAGAGGTATTGAAGACTGACGTATGAGTCTCCAGTTGCCAAGAATCACAGTGTTACAGCCAATCTTTCCTGAACAGGAATTGCGGTATCTTTTTTAAAAATTCTCAGCCCGATCAAATTTATCAACAACTCAAAATCTGACGGATGCATCCTTGTGAAATTTTTGTACATCCCACTGACTGACTGAAAATTTAAGTCTGCCAAAAGATGGGACCCATTGTATACTTCCCTACTGGCATAGATTGGTGATATCCACAAACGTCGTGATTTCTTTCTTCTTTCCTTTATAGCATAGTGAAGATAGATGTACGCGGCTGCTGCTACCATCAGGTTAGGTGTAGTCATTGTTGATTGAAATCTGGCTCAAAACTGAGATTCAGCTCGTCATTTCTTTGTTGCCTTCTTGGGAGGAGAAATTTTGTCGCATTGCATCGGTTGATAAGCAACGGAGATACACAACAAGTCTGGATGCAAAATTTTATTGCGTTGCATAGGATGATACGCAACGGAGATACGATATGGGGATACACAACAAATCTGGACTGGCTTTATCTGCTGTGATATGACACAGTATAGTCTTGTAGGCAGTTACCTATATATCCCAGAAGACACAAAATCTAAATTTTCCTGCTCTGAAAACCTAAAATCTCGTATTAAAAACCAGTGCAGACATAGCACATAGATTCTCATATACAGTTGACCTTGACTATGTTAATTTTGAAACATAATTGATTGTTGCTAGGTAGACCATTGTTGGTTACTGTATACTGAACAGCAATGAAGTTTGTTCGAGTGATAACTCTGGTTTCATCATAAATGGTGTTTCGTGTTTTGGGCATCTAATGTGCATACCATTACTTTTTTGTGAAGATATTCCTGCATATGGTTTTATTTTGGGATATGGTTTCCATAAATTACCCCAATTTAATAAAATTTATTAGCTGTTTGTGAGAAAATTGCCGTTTATTTTCTGGGGCTTGTCTGGAGGACCCCTATTTTTGGAGACAGAATACTTACATTCTTTGAGCACCAACCTGCGGTGGATAAATTCTTAAACCCATTGAACGTTTCAGCCACTAGCAAGGTGCACATCTGTATGTATGTATGTAAATACATACACACATACAAATGGCATTCCAAAAATATTTTTTTTTTTGGTATTGATGGGGCTCAAAACATAAATCAGCCATAATCATGAAATCAATATTTTCATGATTGCAGCACCTATTCAAGTATACTTTATATATGAGAGAATAAAACATTAACTTCTTTAAGTGAAAATTGGGTGAAATGAAAGTTCATGAAAATGTGAATCAGTTTGTGGAAAATATAATGCCACAGACAGTCATCATATGTGCACAAGATTTTTTTCTATAAGTGTTGTAGCCGAACGTTTTTGAAGAGTACCATAAAGCCCAATAGATTGCCTTGTGATACTTTAACTAAAACTGCCAAAGGTGAAGAAACTGGCATGTTAATCAGTTAATATGACATTTCGGTTGATAGACAGCATCAGGTACAACATACCATTTTTAGAGGAAAGAATGGGCTTTCACATGTTCTGAACATTTGGTTGTTTGAATGTCATTTGAGGAAGTGTTGTGGGCTTTTCTGTGCCACTGAATTTACTTCGCAGTCAAAGGGTTAATCAGGGCCTCCACTGTACCTGGAGGTACAGTCAACTCTCGATTATCCGGGGGCTGATTAACCAGTTTGTGGCTTAACCGGGGCTACTGAGGCTTTTTTGAGGCTTATATGACGTTTAATATTCATTCACTTTTGTTTCACATGGTGAGTGAACACTATTTTCGCAC